ATAATTCAATGCATCCTGCAGGTAAACAGTGCACGTGCTTCACTGTCAAGTTCGTTAAAAAAAAAAAGCTTTATTTAATCAAATTTGAAAACGATAGATTCTGATTTGATTTAAATTAAATGTTATATCTTTAATTAAAAATTATCCAAACGTTAGATACAGAAATAAGCATTTGATTTCTATAGTTTAATAATTAAAAATATATTTTTTTCTTATTTGATGTTTTTTATTTTTTAAAATTCATTTTATTTCAATTACCAGAGTTTCAAAAATGAGTTTTGAAGTGATCATCCGTTGTCAAGTCCTTCTCCTATTAGGAAACGAAAACCTTAAAACTTATAGCCCCTATTTATCCTATTATGGATACACGACTTTACTTTCTAAGGATGACAAGAAAACAATTGTGGATTTTGTAGGTAGTGGCTTTTCTCTTCTAATTTTTTCTTTTTTCAAATTCATCGATTCAATTAGTAGTAATGGCCAATTGGGAAGGGCCTTCCATTGATCTTTTGATTGTTACCGCCAAACGTATGGTTTAGACAGAAGATTTTGTTAATTTTGGTGCAGTTTGTTGCTCATGGCTATCCATATCCATCGCAGCTGATGAAAGTTATGTTAGATCAATTAAGTGTTGAAAATTTGTGTTGAATCTCTTACTTCCTTATGGGAATTTTGGTGAATTTATAAATGTTGAAAGTTTATCTTGAATCTCATTTGAAAAGTTTAATAAAGTTATAAGAGGTTTTACTCTTATAAATAAAATATTTTAATTTTAGTTGAGTTATACCAAATAGTTAAACATTGAAAGAATAGTTAAGTGAGTAGAATTCAAAAGATGTAATTGGGCTTTGAGATTAAGTTTGAGTAAAGAATTTTTGTGACTTTCTTGTTTAAAAATCTCACACTTGTAAAAATTGATTTTATTAATGGATTGAATTTAGTGTAGGCCATTTTGGGTTACGTCGAACCACATATATTTATGTATTTTTTTTTGGGCTTACTGTATTGTTTGTGTATTAAAGTGTTAGGCGTGTGAATGTGATTTAATAAAAGATTAAGACAGGTCTAATTCCAATTGTTAAACTAAAAAGTTTTAATTTAATTAAACAATTAAGTTAGTATATGCATAATCAAATAATTAATTAATTATACAAGAGATATCAGTTAAATATAATTTATCCTAATCAGTTTATTTCCATGAATAAGAAAAAAATCCCTAATTCTAAAGAATTATAAATATACAATTATATCAATCAATACTCAATGCCAAACAATGCCCAAATGCACTTATGCCTATGTGTATATCTAATTTCATTTAGTTCACCGAAGCAAACATAACAATCATAATAGCCATGTAGATCTTCTCATTATCTCCATTATAAATATTTAAATATACACACATAAGAGTGTAAATGATATATTAATACTCGTAAACTATTCGGGTTTGATTTGAATAAAACTCGAATTCGGCTTAATTATTATCTAGTCAAGCTTGAATTTAAGTAGTTCGACTCATCAATCAAGCCGAGTTCGATCATTCTATACCTAGCTCGAGTAGCTCGCGAGCATAATCGAATTTTTATATTTAAATATATTTTTGTTATTTTAATTAATAAAATATTTCAAACTCGAGCTCGAGCACAAATACTTGAGCTTTTATCGAATATAAGCATCGAGTTGATTTTTACATGTTAATCGAGTCTAATCGAGTGAACTCGAGTAGCTCGATTTTTTTTTCGAGTCAGGCTCGAGTTAGAAAAATAAAACTCGATCGAGGTTTGAATTGAGTTTCGAGCCTCGAATTTTGAATTAAACTTGAGTTTAATATTGTATTAGCTCAAACTCGATCGATTATACCCCAATGCACACTCATAAAAACCTTTCAATCTCTTTTATTGTGTTTACCCAATAAAACCTACAATTCTTTTAGGTAGTGTTTGGTATCATTTTTAAGATCACCATGGTAATTTAATCATCGAAGTGATCTTATTACTAAAGTGATCTTATGACTCGTTATCTAAAATCACTTTGTTTGGTTAAGAATCATTAATTTTTAATTGTAGACACCCAATTGGGTCCGGGCCCAGATCAATTAGGCCTGGCCCAAATGGGTAAGGCCCATTTCAATCCTGTATTTTTTTTTTTTTTTGTATTTTATGTATTTCATTATTATTATTATTATGTATATCTTTGTGTATTTATTTTTATTTAGATTAGATTTATATGTATTGTATGTATATAGTTATATATTTATTATTATTATTATCTTTTTTTTTTTGTAATATATTTTTGGGTTTATCTTATGTTATTTTTTTTTATTATCTGTTAATTTTATCTGATTTTTTTTCGAATTATCTGATATTATTTTTTTATTTTTATACTATCATATCTTTTGATTATCTAGTATTTTTTTATTTATTTTGATTTTAATTCTGGATGGCTAAGATTCAAAGTTGAAGAATCCCACTCTGGAGGGGAATTCAATCAGAAGAGTCCAGTTGGATTCAAAGACTGAATTCCCGTCCAAGGAGGAATTGGGATTGATCAGGAACTCCTGATCAACCCCTATAAAAGGGATCCCCCTGGAACAGAGAAAGCACAGAGAAACAGTGAGCAAAGCTACTGATTTGAAAGAAAAGGCGTATAGGAAGCTAGAAAAGTTTAGGAGTGTTCTGGAGTGAGGAAAATTTTTTAGAAATTTTGGCGAAAAATTTTTTCTGGAAATTTCTGGGAAATTTCCAGATTCCGGCGAAAATTCCGGCGAAACTTGAATTTTCCGGCTAACAATTCCGGCCAACTTTGAAGTTTTCGGCGACCAGTCCAGTTTCCGGCGAAGAATCCCAGAAACCGGCGATCTTCCGGCCAACTTCCGGCGAAATTTCCAGATTCCGGCGAAAATTTCCAGAATCCGGCACCGGTGTTCTTCAGTTTCTAGAGAGAAGGGAGAGAAAAAGAAGAAGAGAGAGAGAGGGGAGGAGCGTTCTGTCGAAAAACGGAGGAAGGTGCCTTTTATACCCTCCCAAAACGACGTCGTTTTGGCCTTAAGTAACCCAGAGGATCCGCGCGTTTTGCCGAACCCGACCCGACCCGGGCGTCGACCCGCTTTCTGACCCGCGCGTGCCAGCCCCCTCCGAGCCGAGCCGAGCCGAGCCAAGCCGCCAAGCCGCTCCCCCGAGCCGTTTTCTCTTCCTTGAGCCGAGCCGAGCCGAGCCGCGATCCGAGCCGCTCCAGGTTTTTTTTTTTTTTTTATTTCTTTGTTTATTTGTTTATTTTATTTGTTTATTTTTTATTTATTAGATTAGGTTTATGTAATATTCTTTTTATTTATTTTTTATTATTTTATTTTCTTTAAATAAAAATAAAAAAAATTCAAAAAAAAGAATATTTTTAGGGAAAAGTTGAAAGTATCAATTTTCCTTAGAAATAAATTTCCAAAAAATATTTTTGGGGAAAAGTTGAAAGTATCAATTTTCCTTAGAAAAAAAATTTTCAAAAAAAAATATTTTTAGGGAAAAGTTGAAAGTATCAATTTTCCTTAGAAATAAATTTCCAAAAAATATTTTTAGGGAAAAAGTTGAAAGTATCAATTTTCCTTAGAAATAAATTTCCAAAAAATATTTTTAGGGAAAAGTTGAAAGTATCAATTTTCCTTAGAAATAAATTTCCAAAAAAAATATTTTTAGGGAAAAGTTGAAAGTATCAATTTTCCTTAAAAGAAAAATAAATTTCCAAAAAAAAGTATTTTTGGGGAAAAGTTGAAAGTATCAATTTTCCTTAGAAATAAATTTTCAAAAAAAGGGTTTTTGAGGAAAAGTTGAAAGTATCAATTTTCCTTGAAAATCGAAATTTCCAAAAAATATTTTTGGGGAAAAGTTGAAAGTATCAATTTTCCCTAAAAAAAAAATCATTCTTTCCTTCCTTTCTATCTTAATTTTGATTTTGTTTTTTTTCTTTAAATAATCCGACGACGGAGCCTCTGTAAGTGAAACAGTAGTTTTTCTTGCATACTCTTGAGGTGAGGGAATTTTCTCAATTTTCTGCTAAAAGTATTAGAGTCAATTGAGAAAATTTCCAATAATTAATTACTTGGTAAAATTTTAAGGCTTTTGGATAACACAAATTTAAGCTGGTACCATCTTTTGATGGGCGTTGTGAGGGTGCTATAACCTTCCTCACACGTAATCGAACTCCCGAACCCTGTTCTGGTTAGTAGACCTGAACCTATTCTTTTAGGGACCCTTAAACTTAGGTGTTCCCTGAAAGGACAGATTCCTTAGGTGGCCAATCGCACCTAGATAAAAAAGATTGGTGGCGACTCCCTAAAAGTCAATGTCTAGCGATAGATCCCCGGATCTAGACGTTATGACAGCTTGGCGACTCCACTGGGGACTTTGAGAGTCAGGCCAGCAAATAATTTGTGTTATCCAAAAGCCTAATAAAATTGAACCATTTTTGTATATATGTGTTATTATTCATTCCTGTTTATTTATCTTGTTAATTATGTCATTCATGTGCATGTGCATAACATGAGCTCTACACCCGAGCTCCGTCCCTCTAGGAGGGAGTAAAGTACCTATTGCTTTCGTGAGGTCTAATACCTCCGCAGTGGCTAGCGAAATACTCCCACTCAAATTGAACCTTTTCCGCTTGTAGCCTGTAATGGGTGAGGATTAGGGTGCCTTACTAGTCTGTGATGGACAAGGATGTAAGGAACAATTTGAGGACCTTTAGACTTTGACCCTAAAACCACATATAGTGAACCTTAAGAATGCCTAACCTATAGATAGAGCTATCACTCTTCCTTTTTAGAATTGACCAAAAGCATAGGATTCATCCCTTTTACTTTGTGTGATGTGTGATGTGTAAAATTACTTAGTTATTTGTTCTTTTTCTGGGTATACTAACCTTTTTCTTATTTCTTTTGCATTGGTTCATACGCATATCATAAGGTTGCATAAAAGAACATTTGCTTGAAAAACGGTCTTCAACAAATTTTTTTCATGGACACCAATGAACGCCTAGTTTGCTCTTCATCAGTATTAGCACCCTGTGGGACACCTAATGAAGTAAGGGCCCTATCAGAAAAGACTCAATTGAAGATGGGAGATTGCTTGCCAATTGGGTATGAGTCTACTCTGTCTCAAGAAACATCTGTCCTCCTCAAACAGAACAATTTAGAAGATTTGGTTGACATCTGGAAAAAGATGAGTCTGTCAAGACAAGGGCAGTTTTGTCAGAAGCATGGGCATATAGCACACCTTCTAGCAGTGGCTGTTGATGATCAACTAATTAGAGCTGCAACACAATTCTGGGATCCTGCATACAGGTGTTTTATCTTTAACGAAGCTGATATGACTCCCACCATAGAAGAATATTCGGTCTTATTGGGTTTGCATCTAAAGACTCCTGACAAGATATATGTCAAAAAACATAAGTCAGGATTTCGTAAAAGTCTGGCTCAACTCATGGGGATAGACAAGGAAGTTGTAGATTCTCATACAAAGAAGAAACAAGAACAGGTTTGCCTACCTTGAAAGTTCTTTCATGAGTTTCTGATGCAACACATCAATGAAGAACGAGGGTTAGACATATTTGCCTTGGCTATATACGGACTGGTGATCTTCCCAAAAATTTTGGGACATATTGAGATAGCAGTGGTTGATTTCTTTGAGAGTGTGATCAATGGCTGTAATCCTTCAACGGTAATATTAGCAGAGACTATCAGATCTTTGAGTTATTGTCGTCGAAATGGAGGGCGCTTCATAGGATGCATACAGCTATTGTACGTATGGATGAAAAGCCATTTTGAACAAGGAAATGGGGCTTTCTCGAAGATTTATATCCGTAATCGCTTTTCGATCAAAGAGTTCTGTGAAAGTGGGTGGTCAAAGCAGAAGTCTAAACAAGAATGGATAACTTTCTTGCAAAAGTTGGAAGGTGCCAGAGTGAGATGGTTAGTCCCATGGATGAATCGAGAGCCTATGTTATTCCAATGTGGAGATAATACAGTGGTTCCACTTCTAGGTTTATGGGGAGTGACGAATTATGCACCGCTCTTAGTGAGGAGACAATTGGGGGGAGAACAGTTTATTCCTATGACTTATGGGCTTCATCAGTTAGATTTCTCTTATAGTGAGCCTAAAGCATTTCAGAGGATGAATGGGATGATCAAAGCATGGAAAAATCCCCAAAGAGTGAGTCCTGGACCATTCACTGAAAAAGTCACTCCAGGTTACTTGGTTTGGAGAACAAAGAGAAGACAAGAAATGGTATTCACTTATGAAGTCTCTCAACCACCGACAGAAGAAAAGCTTGAAGAGATACCATCAGAGTTAGAGCTGGCAACAAAAGAATTTGAATTTGAAAAGATCAAGTTAAAGAAAGAGATTCAAGAACTTCAAGAAGAAAAAGCCCAGTGGAAAGGTAGAGCTGAAAATTATGAAGTTAAAGTTCATAAGATTGCTAGAGAACGTGATGCAGCTACTGAAGATCTAGCAAGGTTACACCAGGAGCATAAGAGGCTATGTGTGAGAGAAAGGGCCAAAGGGATAACCATTGTCGAGCTGACTGAGGAAAACACAAGACTGAAGCAAGAGTATGCCGAATTGGAAGAAGAAAGTACTGAAGCACAGGCAGAAATTAACATGCTAAACAGTTATTTGAGCGGGCTAAGTCAAAGGTTGGATGAACAAGGAGACCACATTGCTGCATTGGTTAGAGAACATAGAGAATTATCATACCAAGTCTGGTGTGGTAAAAGAGAGAACCTAGGGAGGCAGAAATACATTGAGCACTTAACAACCCAAATTCATAAAGGGGTGCGTAAGGCAAGAGAGATGGTGGAAGAGGCAGAGGCATTAAGACAAGTGGTGGCCCCAGTAGGAGAACATGGACAGCGTCTCTTGAACTTCATAGAAGAAGCCAAAGCTCAGTATGAACAGATCAAACAATTTTATGGCTATAATGCTAGGATGATAAACTCAATGTAGACCAAAGTTTTTTTTGGAATAAATGAAATTTTTTAGTTGAATACCGTTTTGAGGCAAATGTTCTTTGCATACATGCATTTCTCATTCATTACATTCTCATTCATTGCATTCTCATTCATTACACTTACAAAATAACCATGTGATGATCATGCCAATTTACTGATTCTAAGATATGGTACTCAAGGTTCCAGGATAGCTCCGTCTAGCGAAAATCCTACCCATCGATTCAACACAAGATTCAGAGTAAGGCAAATGGAGCAGGAAAATTCCCAAAGATTTGAAAAGATAGAGAAAGCCCAGGAGAAGATTGAGGGTGAGCTAAGCAAGATTCTGGAGGCTCTTAATAACATGAACAAAGGAAAAGGAGTTGAAGGAAGTACAAGCCAGCAAATTCCCCCATTACAAGAAATAGCTGACCCCCTGTACCCTCCAGGTTTTGGCCCACCTCAAGCTCAGTCTGCTCAAGAGGTCCCACCACAACACTTCGCATATCCAACATATCCTGGAATGCCATCGACTTTCAACCCCGGGCAGTATAACAGCTATATAAATCCTGTCTTCACTGAAAAGGCAGTAGAACCAATTCCTGATCTAGATGATTTAAAAGAGAAGAGAAGGAAAAGATGAGAGTAGAGGCTGAGGAAAGTTCCAAGATTAGCATGCTAGAGCAAAGGCTAAGGGCTGTGGAAGGATTTAGCTTCTATGGGTCAGTTGATGCCGCTGGGCTCTGCCTAGTTCCTGATGTGGTTATCCCCCATAAGTTCAAGGTACCAAAATTTGAAAAATATGATGGTACAAAGTGCCCCAAAACCCACATCACCATGTATTGCAGGAAGATGGCAGCTCATGCACAGGATGAGAAACTCTTGATGCATGTTTTCCAAGACAGTCTTACTGGCTCTGCGGCCAGATGGTATGTTCAGCTGGACAGGACTCGCATTCGCTCGTGGAGCGATATGGCACATGACTTTATCAGTCAATACCGACATATCATCGATTTGGCCCCAGATCGTTTGTCTTTGCAGAATCTGGAGAAAAAGGCAAACGAATCTTTTAAAGAGTATGCCCAGAGGTGGAGAGATATTGCTTCTCAGGTACAGCCTCCTCTGACCGAGAAAGAAACTACAGTGCTATTTGTTAGCACTTTAAAACCTCCCTATTATGAAAAGATGATAGGGAATGCAACAAAAAATTTTGCCGATATGGTAATTTCGGGAGAAATCATTGAGAGCGCCATCAAGAATGGCAAGCTAGAAGGGAATGAAGCATCTGGCAAAAGAATCCCGAAGAAAAAAGAAACTGAAGCTCAGGCTGTGAGCTTTGATAGACAGCAACTTAGGGGTTATTCACCCTACCCCCCACCAGAATATCTACCCTATCACCCCACTGTAAATAACACTTCTTTTCACCCATACCAACCACCATACCCCCAAACCTATCAAACCTCTCATAGACCCCAAAACACCATGTACAGTTCTAACATTCAACCTACCCCAAAACCACAAATTCGCCCAACTAACCCTGCTGGTGGCTCGCGGGAGCAACGAACCACTCGCGAAAGACCTATTTTTGACCCTATTCCCATGACCTATACGGAATTATACAAGGAGCTCTACAACAATCATTTGATTGCTCCAAGTAAATTGGAACCCCTCAAGCCACCTTACCCCAAGTGGTATGATCCCACTGCCCACTGTGACTACCATTATGGGATTGCTGGTCACTCCACCGAAAATTGCACTACTCTGAAATATAAAGTGCAACGGTTGATCAAGGATGGGATGATCTGCTTTGACACTGGAGGGATGACTGCACCAAATGTTAGTGGCAATCCTTTGCCAAATCATAATGTGAATGTTATAGGTGAAGAGCATGAGCGCCATGTGAAGAAAGAAGTGGTAGATATTAAGACACCTCTCGATCAATTGTTTGATGTCTTACGAAAAGCAGACATGATACAACTGGTAAGTCCACACAGCTATCATGGAGCATATATAGCTGGTACTAGTTGTAAGTATCATAGTGGGGCAAGAGGCCACTCCATTGAGACCTGTAAACAGTTTCACCGAGAGGTGCAAAAACTTTTGAATTCACATCAGATGGAGGTCTACGAAGAAAAAGAAAGCTTGAAGAATGCTGAGGTGTGCATGACTGATAGGCCTGAAAAGCTGTTTCCCAAACCAGTGACAATTCGGTGTGGAAACAAACCAAAATCAGTCATAGACAAGCTCCTCCCTAGGCCGGTAACTTTTAAAGTCCCGACTCCTTTTCCATACAAAGATGATAAAGCTGTGCCCTGGAGATATGGATGTGACACTGTAGTGCAGGGGCAAAAAGAAGAGGTCTCCAAAGCTGATGCTTCCAATATTACTGGTGTAGGAGGCATTACTCGAAGTGGGAGATGTTACACCCCAGAAATGCTAGAGAAGGCTAGAAGGGAGAAGGCTAAAGAAGGAGAAAGACGAAATAATCCAGAGATAGAGCCTGAAGAAGATCAGCCAAAGCCAGTATCAGAAAGGGAGGTTTGTGAATTCTTGAAGCTGGTAAAACATAGCGAATATTCAGTTGTGAACAGTTGAATAAAATGCCAGCTCGAATCTCATTGTTATCACTGTTGCTGAACTCAGAGCCACATCGGAATGCCTTGCTGAAAGTGTTGAATCAGGGCATACGTGGCACATAACGTGTCTGTCGAATATGTGAATCACTTGGCTGGAAACTTAGTCATGCCAAATCACATTTTCATTCAGTGATGATGAGATTTCTTTGGAGGAAAGAGAAATGCTAAGGGCCTTGCATATCACAGTAAAGTGCCAGAGCCATATCATAGCTAAAGTCCTTATCGATAATGGTTCTGCCATCAATGTCATGCCTATGTCAACTTTGGCAAGGCTACCCATCGACTATTCTCATATGCGAGATAGTCAGATGATTGTGAGAGCCTTTGATGGGACCAGAAAAGAAGTCCTGGGAGATATTGAGATGCCCTTACAAATTGGGCCATGCACTTCAATGTAAAATTTCAAGTGATGGACATCTCTCCTTCCTACAGCTGTTTATTAGGAAGACCATGGATTCACATGGCAGGAGCTGTGCCCTCTACTTTACATCAAAAGATCAAGTTCAATGTAGAAGGTCAATTGGTAGTAGTAGTTGGGGAGGAAGACATGCTGGTGACTCAACCATTGAACACTCCATATGTAGAGGCTGCTGAAGAAGCATTGGAATGCTCCTATCGATCTTTTGAATTGGTCAATACTGTAGGTGAAGGATTCCAAAGTCAGCCTTTTTCAAATATAGTGGTGAGCCAAGTCATCAATAAAGGCTGGTGTCCAGGACTAGGGCTAGGCAAAAATTTACAGGGAATTAAAGAACCTCCAACAATAGCAGACAATAGCGATAGGGCAGGCTTAGGCTATGAGATGGCAGAGTGGGAAGTCAAAAGGAGGCCATCAAGAAAGACACCAAGACTGATGTTCATCCCACACTTGTATGAAACCTTCAGACCTGGAGGATTCATGAACCCAGATGCTAGAAAAAGTGTGGAAGATGATTTTGCCCAGTTAGCCATTAATGCTGTTGAAGATGAGGTGAGGGTAAATCAAGAAGAGTGGGTTCGTCTCTGTCCACCAGATTATGAGCTGAACAATTGGAGTGTTATCGAGATGCCTTCGACTTTTGATTTAGATGCAATGTAATTGTAGCATCCCAATAGCTATTGCCCAAGGCATTGGGGTGATCTTTTTGTTCGGGCCATTCATCATTTATTATTTTTAATAAAGTTAGGAAGTATGCATTTTCATTCATTTCTTCTTGTGTTTTCATTATTTCCATCTTCCCAAGCACATCTTGCCAACATATCCCATTTCATTCAATTGCAGGTCTTTAAATGAACATGAGGATAATCATGATAACAATCAAGAGGTTAGCTTTGAGAATTCAATTAACACTGATGAATTTGATAATGAAGAGAATTCTGAAGAATATGTTATGCCTCCGGACCTAATGAGGATGATTGAACAAGAAAATAAGTCGATTGAGCCCCATCAAGAGTTAGTAGACTTAGTGAATCTGGGAGATGTAAAAAATAGGAAAGAGGTCAGAATGGGCACTTCACTTTCATCTGAAGATAGGCAACGACTGACAGACCTACTCCGAGAATTTGTAGATATATTCGCTTGGTCTTATCAGGATATGCCAGGGCTGAGCACAGAGATAGTGGAGCACAGATTGCCTCTAAGGCCAGAATGTAAGCCAGTTCAACAGAAACTGAGACGGATGAAGCCCGAAATGCTACTAAAGATTAAAGAGGAGGTGAAGAAACAATTCGATGCAGGTTTTCTACAAGTGGCTAAGTATCCAGAATGGGTAGCCAATATAGTCCCAGTTCCTAAGAAAGATGGAAAAGTACGAATGTGTGTGGACTATCGAGATTTGAATAAGGCTAGCCCAAAGGATAACTTTCCTTTGCCTCATATTGACACACTAGTAGATAACACGGCTAAGCATTCGATTTTCTCCTTTATGGATGGTTTCTCGGGGTATAATCAGATAAAGATGGCTGCAGATGATATGGAAAAGACTACTTTTGTGACCATGTGGGGAACTTTCTGCTACAAAGTCATGCCTTTTGGGTTAAAGAATGCTGGGGCAACATATCAAAGGGCCATGGTAACACTCTTCCATGACATGATGCACAAAGAGATCGAAGTGTATGTAGATGATATGATTGCAAAGTCTTGTGGGGATGGAGATCATGTCACCAGCCTCAGAAAGTTATTTGAGAGGTTGAGAAAATTTCAGCTAAAATTAAACCCAACCAAGTGCACCTTTGGGGTAAAGTCAGGGAAGTTGCTAGGCTTCGTAGTCAATGAAAGAGGAATTGAAGTCGATCCCGACAAGATACGAGCCATCCAAAATTTGTCACCTCCTAGCACACTAAAAGAAGTTCGAGGTTTTTTGGGTAGATTGAACTACATTTCTCGGTTCATCTCTCAGCTTACCTACAAATGTGATCCCATCTTTAAGCTTCTCCGTAAAGATAATCCTGGAAAGTGGAATGAAGAATGTCAAAAGGCGTTCGATAAAATCAAGCAATATTTATCGAACCCTCCAGTATTGGTGCCACCTGTTTCAGGAAAACCTTTAATTTTGTACCTAACTGTATGTGAAAATTCAATGGGATGTGTGCTGGGGCAGCAAGATGAGGCTAGCCGAAAGGAGAGAGCTATTTATTATCTGAGTAAAAAGTTCACTGAATACGAATCCAAGTATTCTTCACTGGAGAAAATGTGTTGTGCATTAGCGTGGACTACCAAAAGACTTAGACAGTACATGCTCTATCACACTACATGGCTCATAGCGAAATTGGATCCCATTAAGTACATCTTCGAGAAGCCTTCTTTGTCTGGGAGAATCGCTAGATGGCAAGTAATGCTCTCGGAATACGACATTATATACGTGAGCCAAAAAGCAATAAAAGGGGGTGCTATAGCAGAATTTCTTGCAGATCGTGCTACTGAAGAGTATGAGCCGATGAAGCTAGAATTTCCTGATGAAGACTTGATGACTATTTCTCAACTGGAAGAAAGGGAGCATGGAGAAAAATGTTGGAGAATGTACTTTGATGGAGCTGCCAATGCCTTGGGGCATGGAATTGGGGCAATTTTGATTTCTCCAGAAGAACAATACTACCCTGTAACAGCGAGGTTAAATTTTAATTACACAAATAACATCGCTGAGTATGAGGCATGTGTTATGGGCCTGCAAGCTGCTATAGAAAGAAGAGTGAAAGCACTGAAAGTGTTTGGAGACTTAGCTCTAGTTATATACCAGTTGAAAGGAGAATGGGAGACGAGAGACTCAAAACTCGTTCCATATCATAAGTATATTCTAGAGTTGATGAAACAATTTGAAGATGTCCAGTTCGATCACTTACTTCGAGAAAAAAAATGTGATTGCTGATGCATTGGCTACTCTGGCTGCAATGATTCGAATTAATGATGACATTGACATTCAGCCCATAAAGTTAGATGTTAAGAATATACCAGCGTATTGTTCTAATGTAGAGGGGGAAGAAGATGGAAAACCCTGGTATTATGACATCTTACAGTATGTCAAGGATCAGCAATATCCAGTTCATGCAACAGAAAATGATAAAAGGGTCATCCGAAGATTGGCTATGAGCTTTTTCCTGGACGGGGATATCCTTTACAAAAGAAGCAAGGATCAAGTACTATTGAGGTGTGTAAATGAGACTGAAGCGAAAAAAATCATTGAAGAGGTGCATGATGGAATATGTGGGGCACATACTAGTGGACATATGATGGCAAGACAGATTATGAGAGCGGGATATTACTGGTTGACGATGGAGAATGATTGCATTGACTATGCTCGTAAATGCCATAAATGCCAGATATATGCTGATAAGATTCATGCTCCGCCGTCTGCTTTACATGTTATGGCACCACCATGGCCATTTTCAATGTGGGGCATGGATGTCATTGGTCCAATCACCCCAAAGGCTTCTAACAGGCACAGATTCATTTTTGTGATGATAGATTACTTCACAAAATGGGTAGAAGCAGCTTCATATGCAAATGTGACACACTCTGTGGTTTGCAAGTTCATAAAAAAGGAGATCATCTGTAGATATGGACTTCCGGAGAAAATTATTTCAGACAATGCCAAGAATCTGAATAGCAAGATGATGCAAGAAATATGTGCTCAATATAAGATCAAGCATCATAACTCGGCACCATACCGTCCAAAAATGAATGGGGCAGTTGAGGCAGCCAATAAGAACATAAAGAGGATTTTGGAAAAAATGACCGAGACTTACAAAGATTGGCATGAGAAGTTGCCATTCGCATTGCATGCATATCGAACGTCAGTTCGTACCTCTACTGGGGCAACCCCATTTTCGTTGGTTTATGGGATGGAGGCTGTACTACCAGTGGAAGTAGAGATCCCCTCTTTGAGAGTCTTAAAAGAAGTTGAGTTAGAAGAGGCTGAATGGATTCGAGAACGTTATGAGCAGTTAAATTTCATAGAAGAAAAGAGATTGACTGCACTGTGCCATGGTCAGCTATACCAAAGAAGAATGATGAGGGCTCATGATAAGAAAACTCGACCTCGTTGCTTTCGAGAAGGAGAGTTGGTTTTGAAAAGAATTCTCCCAATCCAGCACGATAGTAGAGGAAAATGGACTCCGAATTGGGAAGGGCCGTATGTGGTGAAACGGGCCTTTTCGGGTGGAGCGTTGATACTGACTGAGATGGATGGAAATGATTTACCCCATCCTGTAAATTCTGATGCTGTGAAGAAATACTATGCTTGAAAAAAATGAAAAAATGGAAAAATGAAAAATGAAAAAATGAAAAAAGAAAAAATGGAAAAAAAGAAAAAGTGAACAAGGAGGACTCAAGGCGAAAACCCCAAAAGGGCGGTTTGAGTCATAGGGGGTTTGTCTAAGTTGAAAACCTGAAAAGGCGGCTTAGATAAGGAGAATACAGCATCGAATCTGAAAGTCTGCTGAGATGAAGGTTAGCAAATTCAGAAGAGTTCCAAGTTGTTAAATACATCAGAGGGTTGAGTTTTCAGAAAAAACTTTGAGATATGTTATCATGATTATCTTATTGTTCATTTTGGGCTTTGTCCCCATACCTATCCTTGTAATTCTTTCTTGGCCAAAGTTTACCGACATTTGCTAATAAAGAAACATTTTATTTCATTCTTTGCTCCTTTTTTTGATGACTGTTTCCCTACTATTCATATCCCTTTCTTCTTAATACCCCATCATGGAAGGAATGTGTAAATGCATTCTCCCTTTCTGAGTTGAAAATAATGATTGATGAATGAATAACAACATAAAAAGATTTTTACATTACATTGAATAAATCGAGAGTGATAAAGGCAGAATCGAGATGTTCAGCTCCTGATTAGGACATTGAATTGGAGAAGAGATTTTTGTTACAGGAAGAATATGAATGGAAGAAATAATTAAGAGTCACACTGGTTCAATCTTAGAAGAACATTGCAATTGGATCCTTGAGGAATCAAAGGGCTTGACACCCAAGAAAGAAAAAAAGAGCTTGAGAAACTTGAGTACCATACATTGAACAGGAATTAATTGGCCAACATTTGCATAGCATGCATTGAAATTCATATGCATTTGCATAGCATACACTACTTTCAGGAAAGTATAGTGTACAAATTCAAGAAGCAGGGGTGTTCCAACATCTCACATGGAAAAGACAGATATGAAAAGACTTTGCAAGTTTGAGAAGAAACTTGTCAGGTAAGTTCCTAATCCTTGAAATAGGATGTCTCTTGGTATCAGGGTTGATTATAAACCTTTGGGCATAATCTCCTGAAATCCCTTCAAACCAACTTTCAACTCCTTCGGACATGATTGTCTAGGAGTATTTACTTCTTCAAAGTTCGTTGCCTCTGTTTAGAGGAGCAATTTACTTTTCTCAAAGTTCGTTGCCTCTGTTTAGAGGAGCAATTTACTTTTCCCAAAGTCATGGTGCCTCTGTTTAGAGGAGCAATTTACTTTCCAAAGTCGTGGTGCCTCTGTTTAGAGGAGCAATTTACTTTTTCAAAGTTCGTTGCCTCTGTTTAGAGGAGCAATTTACTTTTCAAAGTCGTGGTGCCTCTGTTTAGAGGCAATTATTTTTCAAAGTTTCGTTGCCTCTGTTTAGAGGAGCCAATTATTTTTCCAAAGTCGTGGTACCTCTGTTGAGAGAGCAATTTACTTTCCAAAGTCGTGGTGCCTCTGTTTAGAGGAGCAATTTATTTTTTCAAAGTCGTGATACCTCTGTTGAGAGGAGCAATTTACTTTCCAAAGTCGTGGTGCCTCTGTTTAGAGGAGCAATTTACTTTTCCAAGTTCGTTGCCTCTGTTTAGAGGAGCAATTTACTTTTCAAAGTCGTGATACCTCTATTTAGAGGAGCAATTTACTTTTCAAAGTCGTGGTGCCTCTGTTGAGAGGAGCAATTTATTTTCCAAAGTCGTGGTGCCTCTGTTTAGAGGACTTCGGCAAAAAAAAAAAAAAAACAAAAAAAAACAAAAAAAACAAAAAAAAAATAAAAAAAAACAAAAAAACAAAAAACAAAAATTTTAAAAAAAAAAATCAAAAAATAAAAATGTTGAGTTGAGTCTTGATTGGGTGTCTACGTCTTTGCGCAATTTCTGTTTCACAGAAAATGTGCAAAGAGGGACAGCTGTAGACACTCAATTGGGTCTGGGCCCAGATCAATTAGGCCTGGCCCAAATGGGTAAGGCCCATTTCAATCCTGTATTTTTTTTTCTTTTCTTTTTCTTCTTTTGTATTTTATGTATTTTATTATTAATTATGTATATCTTTGTGTATTTATTTTTATTTAGATTAGATTTATATGTATTGTATGTATATAGTTATATATTTATTATTATTATTATCTTTTTTTTTCTTTTTTTTTTGTAATATATTTTGGGTTTATCTTATGTTATTTTTTTTTATTATCTGTTAATTTTATCTGATTTTTTTCTCTGAATTATCTTATATTATTTTTTTATTTTTATACTATCATATCTTTTGATTATCTAGTATTTTTTTTTATTTTTTGATTTTAATTCTGGATGGCTAAGATTCAAAGTTGAAGAATCCCACTCTGGAGGGAATTCAATCAGAAGAGTCCAGTTGGATTCAAAGACTGAATTCCCGTCCAAGGAGGAATTGGGATTGATCAGGAACTCCTGATCAACCCCTATAAAAGGGACCCTCTGGAACAATGCTGAGGATAGAAAACAGTAAGCAAAGCTACTGATTTGAGAGAAAAGGAGGCGTATAGGAAGCTAGAAAAAGTTTAGGAGTGTTCTAGGAGTGAGAAAAAATTTTTAGAGATTTTTTGGCGAAAATTTTTTCTGGAAATTTCTGGGAAATTTCCAGAATCCGACGAAAATTCCGGCGAAATTTGAATTTTCCGACAACAATTCCGACGAACATTGAAGTTTTCGACGACCAGTCCAGTTTCCGGCGAAGAATCCCAGAAACCGACGATCTTCCGACCAACTTTCGGTGAAATTTCCAGATTTCGGTGAAAATTTCCAGAATCCGACACCGGTGTTCTTCAGTTTCTAGAGAGAAGGGAGAGAAAAAGGAAGAAGAGAGAGAGAAGAGGAAGAGCGTTCTGCCGAAAAATGGAGGAATGTGCCTTTTATACCCTCCCAAAACGACGTCGTTTTGGCCTTAAGTAACCCAGAGGATCCGCGCGTTTTGTCGAACCCGACCCGACCCGGCGTCGACCCGCTTTTCTGACCGCGCTGCGTGCCAGCCCCCCTCCGAGCCGAGCCGAGCGAGCCAAGCCGCCAAGCCGCTCCCCGAGCCGTTTTCTCTTCCTTGAGCAGCCGAGCCAAGCCGCGATCGAGCCGCTCCAGGTTTTTTTTTTTTTTTTTTTTTTTGTTTATTTGTTTATTTGTTTATTTTTTTATTTAATTAGATTAGGTTTATGTAATATTTCTTTTTATTTATTTTTTTATTATTTTATTTTCTTTAAATAAAAATAAAAAAATTCAAAAACAATATTTTTAGGGAAAAGTTGAAAAATCATCATTTTTCTTAGAAATAAATTTCAAAAAATATTTTTGGGGAAAAGTTGAAAAGTATCAATTTCCTTAGGAAATATTAAACACAATTCCAAAAAAATCATATATTTATTGGGAAAGTTGAAAGTAACACATCTCTATCTAAAACATAACAATTAACAAATATTATCTATCGCACAGTACACAATAATTAAAAATAAATTTCCAAAAAAAAAGTATTTTTGGGGAAAAGTTGAAAGTATCAATTTTCCTTGAAAATCAAAATTTCAAAAAAAATATTTTTGGGGAAAAGTTGAAAGTATCAATTTTCCTTAGAAATAAATTTTCAAAAAAAGGGTTTTTGAGGAAAAGTTGAAAGTATCAATTTTCCTTGAAAATCGAAATTTCCAAAAAATATTTTTGGGGAAAAGTTGAAAGTATCAATTTTCCCTAAAAAAAAAAAATCATTCTTTCCTTCCTTTCTATCTTAATTTTGATTTTGTTTTTTTTCTTTAAATAATCCGACGACGGAGCCTCTGTAAGTGAAACAGTAGTTTTTCTTGCATACTCTTGAGGTGAGGGAATTTTCTCAATTTTCTGCTAAAAGTATTAGAGTCAATTGAGAAAAGTTTCCAATAATTAATTACTTGGTAAAATTTTAAGGCTTTTGGATAACACAAATTCAAGCTGGTACCATCTTTTGATGGGCGTTGTGAGGGTGCTATAACCTTCCTCACACGTAATCGAACTCCCGAACCCTGTTCTGGTTAGTAGACCTGAACCTATTCTTTTAGGGGCCCTTAAACTTAGGTGTTCCCTTGAAGGATAGATTCCATAGGTGGCCAATCGCAACTAGATAAAAAAAGATTGGTGGCGACTCCCTAAAAGTCAATGTCTAGCGATAGATCCCCGGATCTAGACGTTATGACATTAATAATTAAAGATCATTGTGTTTGGTATTTCTAAAAATCAAATATTATTTTGTTTGAAAGCAAAATAGCCATACACATTATAATAACTACATATGTTAATGATTTTAATGTTATCTAAAGATAATAATTTGTATGTAAAATATTAATAATATTTTATTTACTTCACAGTAAATATAACTAAATTATTAAATTAAAAATATATTTACTAATAGTAAATTAGTTTTTATAATATAAATTATGTAAAAAAGATATTTGAATTAGAAAATAAAACTAATATATTAAAATAAAAAATTATTTTTTAAATAAATTTTAAGAAATCAACAAAAATCACATAAAATATTTTTGAACTTGTTACATTAATATTAGTTTGAAAATATAAAAATTATAATATAAAATAATTATAATTAATTTTTAAAAAACGTAACTTTTTAATTCACATATTAAATAAGTATATTGACTATTGTTAATTTTATATATTACTTCATCCTAGAGATAAAAATTTTTCATCCCTATAGATAAGAATTAGATAACTCTTTAAAGTACTGATTTGATCACTTTCGGTGATTTAATATCACTATTACATAAGATCACTAAGTAGTTATCAAACACTATGATCTAATTACCATGATTTTTTGAGTTGTCATCTCATACCAAATACTAACTTATATCTTTCTATCATACTTAATAACTCCTATTATTTATAAGTATACTAACTTACTTACCAAGAATTCAATTTTTTTAAAATTTTTCTCTTACAAATATTATTATTCATCAAATAATATCTAATCAATTTTAAATAAATTTTTTATGAGATTTAAATCACTATTTTTCAACACCAAGTTCTTTTTATTATGCTTGCAAATCAGAAGTATAGTAAATTCGGGAGTTCTACAGTCTCACTGGAGATAAGTTTTACAAAATTCATTTGCCGCTAGTTAAAGCTAAACGATGTTTTTTTTCTTACGGTAGGAAAAGATTTGGCTATGAATATGGTGAATCCCCATACAAATTAAGCTCCCACATATGAGCACTTTTAAACATCTTGAAGATGTTCGTGTTTTTTACATGTATTCGAGTTTTATTATTAAGATCGTCTTATCATCTTATCCTTGTTCGACCTTGGGGTTATGTGGTTATGGCAATTTATGGAACCATGAGGAAATTGGGATTCGCTAGACCTGGAGATATTGCGTGGACCACGGTAAACGTAAGTAGCGCCCAGTGCGAATGCTGCGATGATATGATTTGTTATGGCAATAAATTTTATGGCATAACTTCTTTTGGAGAGATTATCGCTTATGATGTCGAATATCCTATGCAGGTTACTTTAGTTTAAAGAATTTCTCTTTTTTTTTTACATGTATCTGGTGGAATAGGGAGGGTCTTTACTCGTAGTTTCAAGAGAGGGGTTGCGACGATGGAGTGGTGGTTCAGTAAGGCAGGAGTTTACGGAATCATTTGAAATCCTCCGAGCAGATCAGTCTTGGACCGAGTTGGATGGCTTAGGTGATAGGACCCTTGTCTTGGGTGATAATTCATCCTTTTTTATAACTGCAACTGACAGTCCTGAAGTCAAGCCTGATCCTATTTACTATACTCATAATTTTCCTCAAGCTTATCGGCGCACTAGTGAAGGAGGAGGCAGGGACATCAGTATGTATAGTATGCAAAAGGACGGTGACGAAGGAAGCTTGGATTTTGAATCATATAGTCATGCCTCTCCTCTTTGTGGGTGGAACCAAGATTTTGAGGGTGTTACTCTCTTTAGCCTTGAAAACGATAACCTTTTAGGTCAAGATTTTGTGCTTTTCAATATCTGTTATTTGTTTCCTAGGTTTATTATTGTTATTGTGGGTATTCATTCATATATATATGTTACGAGCCTTTAAGAAGTTAAGAGTGAGATTTCTAGAAGATAAAAAGAAGAACAGAGAATAGAAGAAAGATTAGAAAAGAAAAAGAAGAAATTTCTTAGAGAGAGTTGAAAATTATATTTCTTAACAGCATGCTTTAAAATACTTATGCTTCCCCTTTTTTAGTTGGTCTCCCAACAATGCCAGCTGCAAATTCCCCATTTCCCCATTACACGGCGCACTCACTCTCTCTTTAAACAGAGTAACAGTCAAGCATAAAGGAAAAGGCCTCCGCTATTCAATTGATAAAATGACAAAAAGCCCAATTCAAGAATTAAAAACAGCAAGCCCATCGTAAAGTCAAATCCAATAAAATGGCAAGTAAATATATATATATATATATATATATATATATATATGTCTTGCATGAATGATACTATGTCCGGCAAGTTTTGTGTTGGTGAATTGATTTGTGAAGCAACCATTAATGGATTAATTTGCATTCATGGTTTGCTCTTCTGTTTTATGCTTGAAGGAAGTGGTACCAGAAAAGAAGAATTTGAAGTTTCAGATAAATTGGTGTATAATTTCATGTAGTACAAGATTTTAGGACATGACATACTCTAACAGGGAATTTAATTATGCATTACATATTATTTATTTCTCTTTGCTACTTTTATGTATTTATGGACTTTTCATATGGTTGATCCTTACGATGAATTTCAACTTTTTTGGATCTCTATTCAGATGTTTAAATGTTTTAGATTTTAAAAATTGAAATTTTTATTCCTTTCCAATGTAAGTTTGCTAGTCCTTCCCTTATATGAAAATTGAAGTGCTTTGTTTAGAACTTATCTTGAAGCATTTAACATGGTAGTCATATGGAATTTACCTTAGACAAAACAAAACTCTCACTATACTTTATGTGATTTATATTTCCCACTAACAAAATGGACAGTCTGTTTGTTTGAAGTTTATTATTTTATGTAACTTTGTAGTGTTTTTTTCTCAAGATCACTGTCTCTCAATACCTGGAGGTGCCATAAGATGAAAAGTTGAATTGTTAATGGTTACTTTGTTAGGTCAAAAGGTTTCAATGCAATTAATCAAAACAAAATCAAAACAATTAATCAATCACACAAGAAATAACAATTTAATGTAATTCAGTCCAATTGACCGACGTCCACGAATGAGAAACAAGATCTACTAGTTGTAAAGAATTACAAATATACATCAAAACATATTAATTACTTAACAATCAATACCCATAAACCCTCTTAATTTTTTCTAGTTCTATAGAATATTCTCAACTCAAACAAATGCATACCTATGTGCACCCATACCTCATACCTATGTGGATCATCTCAGTTACCTTTAGTCCACTCACAAACAAACAAACATATACACTCATAAGACGTAAAGCCTTAGTACTCCTATGGGGTATCTATTATACAAAACTTTACAACTCTCTTATATATTTTTCTAATATCTAATCCTGTAGAGATTTTACTTATTTATAACCATACAAACTTGCCTATTAAAAATATTTTTTCTTTTAAAATTTTTCTCTTGCAAGTCAAACTTGCCTATTAAAAATCTTTTTTCTCTTAGAATTTTTTTTTTTAAATCTTCTTATCCATCAAGTAATATCTAATTAATTCTAAAACAATTATTTTATAGAATTTAAGCCATTATTCTAATATACCTTTGAAATTTCAAGGTAATGCAATTATGCAATTCAATAATGTTGTTGTATGTTCCGTCTCTTGGTTTCATAAATATAGTACAACTGCTAAAATCTTAATGATTGTTATTTGCTAACAATCATGGAGATTAAACTTAATATGCCATCCAGATGTAGTGCACGGTTATACCATCCTCCTTTGAACCCCCAAATCCAGCAAATTATTATATCTTCCTCAATTGCTCCTAGCACTCTCCATTCTTGAGCTTGGATGCGGTTCCCCAATAGAAGAATCGTGGACCCAAAATTGGACCGAAACAAAATTGAATATAAGAATCAAACAAGGTTTCAGTAAGTTTTCTAACTTTTTTTCCCAAACTTAGCTATATCCTTCTGATCTCTCAGCCCAACCCATTTCGAGATGGCATTGGAGTAGAAAAGGACCCTTCACCTTCAAGCTGGCCCATGGAGAAAACAAATAAAAAGATTCAATTTTTCTTCGAAAAGGAAAAACGGTACCTACTTTTGAAAAAAACAACCACTGGTTTCATATTTGAAAAATCGAACTAAATAAAACGGGGACAATAATGGGGTATGCAGCTACACGTAGTGATAAACTTGTACACATTGAAACAACGGCTGAGATCAGCCCATCAGGGACTGCTAAGCTGGAGCCACCGAAAGCGACTTCAAATCACTTTGCTTTGATTAGATGACGCGTAACTAGTGCTGTTTCACTGTCGTCTTCTCATATATCACCCCAAAAAAGCCAACCGCACTGAATTAAAAATACTACTAATTTCGTAATCGAATAGTGTTAAAAAGTTTTATTGATAACCCCTAAACAAAAAAGTTGAAGTTGACGCATGTGAAGATTGTCGGAGAAGAAACCTTGACCCCACAAATAAACAACAGCAACACAATCGTAAAAAATAACGGTGGCTTCACAAATTATCTCACTTTTGATAACATATGATAAGACTAATTCCCGTCTGCAAAAATCTTGACGAACACTCAGTATAAATCGCCACCTTTAAGAATCTGGTCCTATATTTTATGTGTATATATCTATAATGTATATATATATATGTCAATATCAAGCTACTGATTCCCGGCGCTGACTCTAACAATTAGAGCTAAATGGAATTGGTCCTAACTTTTAACCCTTTTGTTTTTTCGTTTCTTTTACTATGTGGTCATTTGGATTATACTGTATCGAGGCACGGTTGGATTTATCATATTTTTAATTAAATTTAAATATTAATTTTAAAAAAATTTCCGAATTAAATTTTTGATTAAAATTTTTAATTATAATTATAAATAATTTTATTATTATTTTTAATTTTATTATAATAAATGATAATACAAATACAAGTTAAAAGTTTATTTAAATATATGATGAAATTAATTTTTTTGAAATTAAAAATAATAATAGAATTGAAATTAATTATTATAATAATAAAATTAAATTTAATGATAAAAATATATGTTTAAAAATAAACTTAACAACAACGTATGATAAATTTTAATTAAAAAAAGTCATTAAAGATATTAATTTAAAATTTATATATAATAAAATTTTAAATTATAAAAATTAATAAATAATAAAAAATCAAAAAAATATTTTTATGATAAATAATAAATTTGTTAATAAAATAAATAATGAAAAATAAAAAATAACAATAATTGCTTTGGATTTTCACGCCAAACAAAAAGGAGCGGAGTTTTTGGTTTTTTTTAAGGTTTTGATGTAAATTGTTTGGGCCAAGGGTAAAAGAGGAAAAAACCCAACTCCCGTTAGTCACTGGAGGGTTCTTCCTTCAGTGAGCAACTGGGGCTTAAGATGACAAAATTGTTCATACCGTACCGAAATAAAGGTCATCCAAACGAAAAATCAGTCCAGTTAATTTGTCATTTAAAGATTAAATCCCATCGCAGCTGTCCAAATGCAACCTAAGCTAAGCTAAGCCCGTGGTTACTTTCAGGATTTGCGTATCGACGTAAGCACGACGCTGTGTGTGTGTGAGAGAGGACTGTTGCTCACTCATTGCTCTACTACTGTTATCAACTTTCTTACCAGCTCATTACAGTTGTCGTTCCAAGCATAAGTAAGAAAGAGAGTATAAAATCTTGAACAATTTCCGATTTGGTTGTCCGTTCAACGCTTTTGGCAACCAAATTTGCGTCTTCATTGACAGCTTTTACCTTAAAATATAATGCTTTACACGAGCCATCTTGCCCCTACACACTACTAACTCACTCACTTTACCCATTATTTTGTTCTCATGGAGTTACCTAGATTCTTCAGCTATGCATCAATTATTCTTTCAATTTCAGGTACTGGGTAACTCAGTCTCTAGTTTTATCTACCTGGATTGAACTGTAATGCATGAATTTGCTAATTTCTTTTTGGTGATTGCAGCTTATTTGTTTGCAATCATGGTTAATTCAATTGGGATCAACTATGGACAAATAGCAGACAATCTTCCTTCCCCAGAAGACGTAGTGCCACTAGTAAAATCAATTGGAGCAACCAAAGTTAAACTCTACGATGCAGATCCAAGAGTCCTTAGTGCATTCGCGAACACCGACGTGGAATTCATCGTTGGTTTAGGCAACGAGTACTTGGAAAAGGTGCGAGATCCGACCAAAGCCCAAGCTTGGGTCAAACAAAACGTTCAAGCCCACTTACCAGCCACAAAAATCACCTGCATCTTTGTCGGAAACGAGGTTCTCACTTTCAACGACACTTCTCTTTCCGACAACCTTCTCCCGGCAATGCAAAGCATTCACACCGCGCTGGTTAGCCTGGGACTCGACAAACAAGTGACTGTCACGACAGCCCATTCCTTAGCCATTCTCCAAACCTCGTATCCGCCTTCAGCTGGAGCATTCCGTGAAGATCTGATCGATTGTTTGAGCGAAACTTTGAGTTTTCATCAAAAAACTGGGTCTCCTTTTTTGATTAATGCGTATCCGTACTTTGCTTATAAGGGAAACCCCAAGCAAGTTTCGTTGGATTTTGTTCTTTTTCAGCCAAACCAAGGCGTTATCGATCCAGCGACGAATTTACACTATGACAACATGTTATACGCTCAAATCGACGCCGTTTATTCTGCTTTAGCTTCGTTAGGTTACAAGAAACTCCCAGTTCACATATCGGAAACTGGGTGGCCTTCAAAGGGAGATGAAGATGAGGCCGGAGCTACGCCCAATAATGCTAAGAAATACAATGGGAATTTGATTAAATTGATGTCGAAAAAAACAGGGACTCCAATGAGGCCGAATTCGGATCTTAATATCTATGTTTTTGCTTTGTTTAATGAAAATATGAAAGCAGGTCCCACTTCAGAGAGGAATTACGGGTTGTTTAAGCCTGATGGAACGCCGGCCTATCCTCTTGGTATTAGTAGTACTAACAACGTCGTCGGAAGTAATACGACCGCCAGTGGAAGTATCGGGAATGCCGTGACGACGCCGTCTTCTCCAATGAGTTCTTCCGCTGGTTATTTGTCTATTTCTTCTGCAACGGTTAGTTATTGATAAAGTTGGGAGTATTCACATTTTTACCGTTAATTCCCACTTTTCGTTGCGAATATTCCGTTATCTTCATAATATTTACGAGATTTAATTTCACACCATTCGTTGGATTCTGTTTGCCTCCGAAAATGACAAATTTCGGAATGCTGACATTTACTTAAATGTTCTCCAATTTTTGGTTGATAGCAGGAAAGATATCAATTCGTTGGGCATGTGCTACTGGCGTCGTTGTTATTGATTAAAACGTTGGTGTAGGACGAATTCAAAGCTCTTTTCATCAGATAAGGGAAAATTAAACAAAAAAGAAAAAGCAACGGAGAGGGAGATATAAAGAGAATAAGAGCCAGCTTCGTTGTTAGGGAAAGGTTAATTCTGTTTCTTTGCTTGTACGCTAACAGTGTTATAGGGAATATCAAAAGTGCATGTAAATTTCCAATTGGCCCTACTCTGTGAACTTCTTTTTTGAGGTGGCGTGATGAAAATGAATATTATTATTAAGGCAAATGGGACAGGGTTAGTGGCGTGGTCTGACTGGGTATTGGGACATGATTTGGGTTGCTTTTGATCTTTTTCGTTGGCATCGAGTGTCATCTTTTTTGAACTTTTCTTTGTTTTTCTTCGCAGGGTGCTCGGTTTGCTGATTGAGAGAGTTTGGTAGAGAGAGGAACCACATCTGATACTAAGTTTAGATGATGATTATTATATTAATTTGCTAGATTATTGTATTGTCTTGTATCCATTTCTGGTTGTAGTGAACAGGATGTACTACGTTTTAGATTTTTTATATATCCATCAACCTGTTTTACGCCCCTCTTCAACATTGGGACATCATTAGAAAAGAGAGCAGTAGATGAACAACAAACAAGTAAAATAAACGGTCCTAGTCAGTCGGGCCCTGACAGTATTATGTCATATGTCCATTGAAAGTTAGGTCGAAAGTTGTTATGAGATATAATTTTGGTAGTTCAAAAGATTCATTAAGAATAAGATTCCAGGAAACTTGTTCCCAGACAGAAAAAGACGGTCATTCCTTTTATGTAAAAGGGGGGAAGATCGATTCCAACGTAACCTGCTATCGTACTCAATTCTAATTATCGTTTAGATTTACGTGCATTGCTAAACATAAATAATGCCGAATGACTTTCTTAAAAGATTAAATTATCTTCGAATTCAATCGCTGACCCTGCACCAGTCAGGTAAGAGCGAGACACTTGTGTGAAAAGGTAACAATAGATGGCTTATTGGCTACTACCACTTGCTCATGATACAACTTAAGCACCTATAAGCAAACCTAGTACTCTGCCCAAAATCTGTCCAAAAAAATTTTAATAATTAATTGAACTAATAATATTCGACCCCCACCTTTAACCCTTTTCGCTCTGAGTTTGGTCCACTGCTAGGGTCACATTTCTTCTATAACATGCGCGCCTGCTCGGCTTGCTCAGCGAAGAAAATCATCAATCAGTTCATCACATAGTATAACAGTGACTGTCACAGATGAGCCCAGCCTAACCTCAAATGCAGGCAGCTACAGAAGAAATATATCACAAAGTGCAACCAACCAGGACCTTAAGAGATGGAATGACCATGCGATGCCTCTCCTGCCTCCACCTGAGATTCAGTTTTAACTCTCTTATAGAACAACAGATAAGCAGCTGAGGTCTTGATGTCAGATTCGTTGACCGGAGAAACATGACTATCATCAAAATGATACCATCTATTCTCATCAATCAACTGCCAAAGGGGAAAAATTAAAAGCATATTAGATATCAATCCAATCAGTATCTCATATGAAAGGCAATTCCATAGTCATCAAGACACCCGAGATATGGATATAGTCGCAAGTTTAAAATTATGAGTAAGGTGCATAAGCATTATGCATGGAAGATGGCTATTAGGATACACTATTGACATAAATTCGAATAAGAAAAGAACTAGTACACTAGAATATGACTTTACCTTAGCATAGGCAGTGTAGTGGCCACCACCTAGACCACCGTAATGGTTACTGATGGCATAAAGCTCATATACATAAGATTGCCCATCTTTGTTCATGACATATTTACTCAAATCAAGATTGTGAATTGGGAAATTCACAAAAGTGTCGATCTTGTTCTTTAGATATCTGCCATAAGTGAAGCGTTTCAAGTGAAAAACAATAATCTCAGGTAGCATCCACAAGTCTAGCTTCTTTATAGCTTGCCTATGTTCCTTGCAACGAGGACAATACCTGCATAACAATTTAAGACATAACATTAAGGCATCCATACTGCTTACGGTAAAGTGAGAATCCACAAAGTTATCATCTGAAATCCATTTATAAGTGTTTTAAGCACTCACCACATGTCATCAGGCCCTAGAGGTTCTTCCATCAAGAAAGCATCCAAACATGAAGATAGAGAGATGGCTTCCTGCCGGGTCTTTTTTGCTGCAAACCCTGCTTTATGAACCTCTGGGATGTCCTTCAAGTAGCTGACATCATATAACTCCCGTTCTTTGTTAGTCCAATCTAGCACAACCCTTAAGATTTTCCCGGATTCAAAGAGGGTATCCTTCCTTAAAGCCTTGAATTTCATAACCCTATCATCAGTCAAAAGGAGAACAAGCGATAAGTCTGTGCTCAATGTACCCTCAAGTTCTGTATTTTCAACTAACTGAGCATCAGAACTGCCGCATTGTTCATCAAGACCATCTGAGAGAAAGCCATTTTCCTTGCCAATATGAACCTTAGCTGACATTCTTTCGAAAGGTGACAGTACTTTAGTAACAGTGGTCTCAATATCAGCTCCGCTTGGTTGCTCTTCCTCCAAATACGTAATCAGTGGAGTTCCAAAAAGCTTTGTGCCACTCTTAAGATAATCCGAAGTGGATCTGAAAAGCCAAATATTTTGGTTCAAAATCTTAACCAAAGAAAAAGACAAAGAAGAAGACAGCTTATCCAACAAATTCAAATGTGACTTTCTCCCTCCCTCAAAAAACTTGAGCCAAAACCTAAGAAGAAATATCCCCCCCCCCCCCCCCCCCCCCTTTCTCTCAGCTTATTAACAGATTGTTATGAGACTAGTTTCTCACTCCCTCCAAAAACTTAAGCTAAAAATAAGAAGCCAAAGAAGTCCATTCCTCACTTCTTAGTACACTGCAAAAGTCATTAACCCTTCTGCAGATTTTCTTAACCAAATTCATGCCACATGGGTGTGCAGTCAACGGATGAACTGTGTGGACACAGATGGTTGCTATAATAACAATAATAATAATAATCATAAGACAAATTGCAATGATAGATGCAACCATGGACCCTTCTTATCCAAAATATCAAAGTGTCGGCAGGTAGTAAATCTGATTAAAACAAATATAATTTGCTTACGAAAAATTCCAATTGCTAGAGAGAAAAAGGAAGTAAACTTACTTTTCCTGCCATCGATGAAAAATTACTAGCTTAGTTTTCCCCATCCTTTTCTTTTGAAATCGGAAGGCCACAATATGTTCATCATCTTTTATTGAAATCAATGGCTCCAAAGGTATCTCCAAATATCGGTAAATCTTGTTTTCATAGACCTGATATAGAAGATCTACCACTTCATCCAATCAAGATAATCTATAACTTAAAAAGGTAAAAATAATTTAGGAATCAATTGTATTTACCTCCGCAAGCACAAGGCTCTCATCACTCTTCAAGCAACATGCAGTACCTAACGCCAAAAGGAGATCTTTGCAGAAACCATTTTTCAGCACAGAGACAGTAAAAGGCATTGGGAGACCACTTCCATCCCCAGAAAACACTGTCACTGTCATTGTCCTAGTGATAGTTGAAGGAAGTGGCAAAGATAGATACATGAAGGGGTCAAAAGTAATTGAAATTTTGCTGCAAACTGGGCAAACTAGTGTTGACTTATATTGACCCTGAGAGGCAAGAGTATATTATCACCAATATTAAAATTGTTAGTAAACATGGGGGAAAATCAGCCTAATTTCCATGCTCAGAAACTTGAATTTGCGTATTATTGACATGCAAGAGGAATGAAAACAATTACATAAGCGTGGGACATATTAAACATGGAACCACAAAAGAACTAGGCATCTATAGGCTCAGAAATGCCCAAATCTTAAAGAATGGAAAAAATATATATAGTGACAAAAATACAAAAAGGCACTTTTAATTATGCTCAGAAAAATGTAATTGGTCATGAAACTGCTTACACTGGCACTGACAACAAATCCTCAATGAGTATTATTTGCCATGTACTAAAAAGCAAGATACCACTCTTAACCGTCCAACATAACTTTAAGGATCTAAATCAAGCAGGCAAAATAAGAAAAATTCTCACTTGGCAAATATCCACAATCACTGAGTCATTCCGGGCCTTGTGATTTTTCCAACACTCAGACGCAACTTCCTCATCGGGACGAGCATCTGAATCCTTCATTTCAATATAAGGTTTTTGTTTGACCCGATTCAAGTCTTCATGCAGCCCATCCAGTAAGAAAGCCAAAAGTTCCTAAAGAAAGGATGCTCCATCATTAGAGAAAGCATAAATATGATATAAAAATTAGATGAACCCCTTAAAAGTTATACCTATGGATAACATTTAAACAACATTCTAGGTCAAGCTTAAGTTGCTTATGAAGTAAATGCAAAAGGTCCATACTAAGCCTTAAAATAAAAAATTATAAGTCCAAGATTGAAGCATAGGATCCTTCAAGCCTTAAAATAAAAAATTAGAAGTCCAAGATTGAAGCATAGGATCCTTCAATAACTATTATTACAGTGGTGAAGAATTATATATCTCTCGTCCTCCATACTCACCATCACCAGAAATTTTGAGAAAATACAGCGTTTTCCTAAACAATCATACAATCACTAACTGCGCTTGCCTAATTTAATATTATTGTGGTAAATATATTCTAATGTTGCAATGCCCCACTAATTTATATACCCATCTGCAATAAAGAAGAACGGAGTATTCAGAAATCAAAAAACACTTACTTGAGAATCATGCTGGTTGTAACCACTAAACTGGGGTGCAAACCGAGCAAGTTTTCCCTTAAATGCACGTGGAGCAATTGCTGTTCGCCCTGAGGACCATGATTTTCGTAACAACTCCCCAAATGCAAGTGCAAGCTCCCCCTGGACAAGTACAACATATGTTTGAGATTTTGAGGAGTACCCAAGAAGAGGTGTCAAAATTGTCCAAATGAATAATTCACATTAAACTACAAAAACAAAATACTTGATATCACCACAGCTTACATGCATTCCCAAAGGATTTTCTGTGTTGATCTCATCACTGTAATCTTTCAAGAAATACTCAACAAGAGGGGGCGTGTGCACTAAACATTGAAGAGCACTATTCATAAAACAAGTATTTCCTAGGTTCTGCAGTCCAGCCAAACCCCCCTTCTCTCCTTTTCTAACAGAGTTATAGGCATCGGAACCATCATCTATATCTGTCAATGCTGAGCTTAAGGAACTTCCAGGAGACAGACTTGACCTGTAACCTGAGGAGTGACCATTGGACAAGGTCGGCCCTCCAGCAATTGTCAAGGGTGATCTTGAAGGTTCCAAGGAAACCAAAGCTAGTTCATTTCCTGTAGAATCCATGCCAAATCTTGAAGAGTGATGTCCATCAACTTGCTCCAGAAGAATCTGTAAAGTTTCATCAAACAAGCAGGTAAATCAAAACCAATTAGAAATGCAAACATAGAAGGGCAAACAAAAAGATACTCACATCTTGGTCCATCTGCAAGTTTGATTCCTCTACGCTTTTGCTTGAAACAAACAACTGTGCATGCTTTCTTTTGTTGAAGTAGTCCCAAATGCGAGCCTAGCAACATAATGAACCAAAACACTTAATTGAAGTTGACTTAAAGCAAACAAATTTTCTCCTAAAATAGTGATATTAAAGAGTACATGCTTAAAAAAAAGACATGCTCACCTTATCCTGCTCTATTCCTCTGAGTGCACAGACCTTCTGGAAAAGCTCAGTTACAGAAGCCTAATCATGCCATCCAACCAAAAGAACAGAAGTGAGGAAAAAAGGGAGTTAGATCCTGTATGGACTACAGAAAAAAAAAACATATTTTCAAGGACAATAAAGAC